AATCACAGGTATTCAAACCCCACAGTTTATCTCATGACTTCATATTACACAAAAAAACATTTTCATTCAGACAGTAAGCACCTACAATCCCTTATTATAAAAAAATTACAAAAGAAAGTTAGTGTACGCAGGACCTGCTTAAAGAATAACACCGTCTGATATATACAGTATTTACATTTCAAGACAAGGACCAACAGCAATAAAAAGTTGATGTTTGGAATAGCTGCATTTACAGACACTATAAAAATGTTTCATAATGCCTTCTGAAGAAATTTGACATTTTTCAGTTTTTATAAAAAGAACGTAATAATCACACCTTTCCATCACCGCCCCGTGACTTTGAAGTTCAAATTTAAAGTGCATTGCAATTCTTCAAGGTTATTTCACCTTCCAGGGTTATTTTTTCCGGAAAGATATATTTCTGCAGACCCAGGTCATGCCATCCTAGAAAGAAGCGGAAAATGCCCCTGATTAAAACATGTCGATGACATACTGCTTGCCTGACGGTAGCAATAATGTTGTTATCAAAGCTGGCTAAACCATTTGCGTAATGAAGACAAATGAAGCAAAGCCTATTTGGTCTTTCAAAGGATGATAACATGCTTAACTTCACACTCCTAATCTGGTTAACCTTAGAACTAGTTTGAGCTGCAGTGAGCGCAATCATTAGGATATAATTGTGTAGCTCTGATAAACACCAGGAGTAAGCTTTATTTGAAGAATTAACTGCATGAGTGCTGAATACCAACTCAGGAAATATTTTCAGGGGAGTAGTCGGTAAGTTGTTTTTTTTAATGTGGCAAGTTTCTTCTGAAATAATTTACGTATATTAACTCAGCATTGTCTGGTGCTTCTAAAATTAATTGACCTCCATGAGATAAATAGATGTGTGCACTGAGTCTATCCAATATTAAAGGTGCTTTTTTTATTGTTAAAAAACAAAAGGTGAAGAAAAGCAGAGCCACTCTGTAGTTGACCATGTCCTAACCATCGCCGTGTGTACTGCATTTTACCTGCACTCCCTCAGCTGTGATTGCTGAGCACGCCTGGACCTGCCACATGCGATCCCGGATCGTGTGCAGATTGAGACTCTCTGCCAGCTCAGATGCTGAGGTGGCTGTCATCAGGTCCTGCTTGTTAGCAAAGATTAACAGTGGCACACCAGCGAGCGTTTCCTCCTCCAGCAGCTCAGACAGCTCCTGGTGGAACAGGGCCGCGACGGTAGTCGGTAACACATGACATCATCAAAAATTGGGTACAGTTACAGATTCATACACTGTAATAGAATCATCTGTAAACATCAACGATCACCTCAGAGTCACACTAGAAAAAGTATATTGTGTTATTTTAATAATTTAAAACTTAAACAGCATCTCACCATACTTGATTCTTCAAACCTTTTCTTGTCTGAGCTGTCAATCACGTAGATCTAGAAATAGCAGAGTCAAAGATATTAAAAAAGCAGTTCATAATATTCTTAACAGAGCAATATCACATGAGAGGGGGGTCTCTTGAAATGAGTACATAAAATATATAAACTGTGTTTATCTGGCCTCATTCCTATGACACAACCCCAGCCGTGCTGCTGTTCAATACAACGGCAAAACCTTTGTGTACCTTGAGTGTTATTACTTTTACACAACATTTCTACAACAGCAGTTATTAGTAAACATTAAAGATAACCACCTGTGCTGAAGTTCAGTACAACAGCACACCCTTGAGTGTAATATTGATTTTATATAACTTGTAGAACAAGAAAGCAGTGAAGATAATCAACGTCATGATTTGTGTTGTGTTTGTCTTTACACAATCTCTAGTAGTAGCAAAAATAAGTAGTCCAGTGATGTTGTATTCTATATCAGCACTCATGTGTTCTTGGTTAAGCTGTCAAAATACTGTATCAAGAGGACAACTATCTGTAAGTACATAAAGGAGAACCTACCAGTACATCGGTGTTCTCAAAATAATTCCTCCAGTAGGGGCGGATCTTGCGCTGACCTCCAATGTCCCAAACATTTAACTTGAAGCCAGACGACTGAACGGTCTTTATATTGAAGCCCTACAGAAAGACAACATAGATACTTCTAATCTTTGCGTACTACTTGCAGAGGGCAAATCAATACACGAATTGGAAACATGTATGACTTGAAGTTGACGGAATGTATTTATGTGAAAAAAATGTAACACAATGAAAACATTAAAGATTAGCTTCCTTGTGCATATATGTACTTGTGTGGGGGTGATGTGGCTAATATCTTCTGCTGCCAGCTGTTTCAGCAGAGTAGTCTTGCCAGCATTGTCCAAGCCCAGCAGCAGTAAGCGCACTTCCTGTTCTGGAGACTGTTTCATCCTTCGAAGAATGGACAACAGGCCCTGCAGGTGGATCAGAGAGTGTATTAGAGCTTAAACCGGACAGGCTGTTTATTATTGAATCGTTACAAAATCAGAACCTCATAGGTTAAAATAATGCTTTGGTCATCAGAGTTCAGTTTGGTGTCCGGGATTGGCAGAGGATCATGACAAGAGCTTGTACAGGATGTTTTAACACTAACCTCACAGCAAGAGTTATCTAGAACATGAGGATTTAGCTGTTAGCGGCTTGCAGTGACCTACTCTTGTTAGCGTGCCAAAGGCTCAGATTGGCATGTGCACAGTCAGTGGCTTGGGTCCAGAAAGTGGCAAGGACGGAAGGCTTTGGCTCAAGATATTCATGCTGCAGTGTGTGCAATGCACTCTGTGGCATCAGCATGTAACATGTGTCAAATATAGAAAATAACCCATAATATTTCAGGGCATATCTGTGTAAATCTAGCAGACATAAAAGTAGCTGTAAAAGTTTGCCATTTTCCTTGACGTTTCTACTGTTAATTTGTAGTTTTGTTCAACACATCTCACATGCCTTCCTTTATTTATCTTCTCCCTTTTCCCTGAGCTACAAAGGACCACTCAAATGAAGGGAATAATCCCAAAGATTTTGATTAAAGTTGATCTAAATTAAACAAGCCTACTGCAAATTACCAAATATAGATTTTATCATAAAGGACTGCAGAAATATTATAGATTATTTTAGTGACAGCCCATTTTTATCACTTTTTACTGGCAAGTGTCTTAAACATACTGTATATCCTACATAGCATTAAAGTATTTAATTTAACTATGCGCCACATCAATTTATAGTAACTTCTGTAGCATTTGCGGGCTGCAGCCGGAGTTTTAGTAGACCTATACAAAATTCGTAATATCCAAAACATGTGACTAAATACAGAAACATGAATATATATTCTAATTAAAAAAGTGAATGGAAAGAATGGTGAAAACTTACCATGTTTGCCTCTGGTGTTGTGGTGTTTTGCCCCTGCTTACACTGAGTGGATTAAAATCTTTATAACGATTCTGCTTGAGGGAGGGAGTGGGGGGGGGGAACTACTGTCAGGTTCCGTTGTCGTGGAAACCGTGACGTCGTCAACGTAAACAACGTGACTGCTGAGCGTCTGTGCTCAGAGGGCAGAAAAAAATAAAAAATGAAACCATAAAGATCCCCCAAAAAACATTTTTAAAACGCCCCTATGATTGAAGGGGTGACATATTTTTTTATGGTTAAAAAAATAATTAAATGCTGGATTTTTTTTTTTTTATTAAATGTTCACTTTTTTTGTAGCACTCTCATCGAAGACCAGGCTAGACAGGTGCCAGGTTATAACTACTTTATGATTATAACTTGGGGACAGTATGTAAGAAAATTCCCCAGAAAGGTTGCCAGTCTGGGGCAATATCCTACGTCCCTCAATTCAATAATCAGGTTTTTTTAGAGAGCTTTCAGAACCGCCGGTAACATTTCAGTCAGTAATCAATGATATTGTCTTGTGGAAAAATTGTGACATAACTAACTATTATCATAACACTTGCATTCTCCCCAATGTAACAGACAAAGGAGGGCCACTCGACAAGCCCCTCTGGGTTTATTTGGCTCTCCAGCACATTTTTTTTCAAAAAGTATAGTTTGTTAATTAACTAATCTAAACTAATTTCTACACTCATGCACTTTAACTTATGTCAGTACTGTCCATTTACAACTCTGTTTTTGCACATTTACATTTAATCTTTCATGTTTAATTTACAACCATTAATATATAATATTACTGTATTGTCTTTTTTTATCCTACTACAATTTAAAAAAATGTCCTCTTATGTATTTATTTTAATATCTTGTTGCTTTTATGTGTCGTATTTTATTGTATTTTATTTTTATACATATTTTTTTAATTCTTATTGGTGTGCATTAGTCTCTCAATGATAGTCTCTCAATGATTTTATCCATGATTTTATAAACTACTTTTTGTCAATAACTTTTCTGCACTCTTGTTAAGCACTTTGAACTGCAATTTAATTTGTCTGAAAGGTGCTATATAAATAAAGTTTGATTGATTGATTGATTGATTGATTGATTGATTGACTCTGTTTTTGCACATTTACATTTAATCTTTTTTATATTTAACTTACAACCATTTACAACTCTGTTCTTGCACATTTACATTTAATCTTCCATATGTAATCTTCCTATTTAAGACTAGTAATGCTTAATTAAATCCTGGTTGTATATATTCACATTCTTAGTTTTGATATTTTTACTACTTATTTAGTTATATAATATTTAATATTATATTATGTTTAGACTTGCTAACATTGTGGGTTTTTTTTTTTACTAATATTGTGTGTTTGGATAACCTGCTGCTGTAACGCCACAATTTCCCAGTTTGGGATCAATAAAGTAATTCTATTTTATTCTAATCATTATGTAATGTCTGTTTTTCCATTGATCTAATATGTTTATGTTGTATTTTGTGTGCAATAAATTAAATAAAAATTAATAAAAAAAAAAAAAAAAAGACAATAAACAAGAAAGAAGTGGAAGAAGAACACGGAACCTTACAAACTCCAGCATGAAATCATGTTTTCACAAACGCATACACAGCAGCACCCCCTGCAGTCCTGCAGCTGACTCCGTTTCATATTACTTACGCTGTTTCTGAGTCAAGGAAAAACAAAAACATGTCCGTGTACGTCAGGCTCAACTACTAACTAAGAATTGCAACCTGAAGTCACCTCAACTAGCTGTCGATTTGACCGACTGCTATATGATTCCCGTCGCGTCAACGGCCGACGACCCAGAAAGATGCCGCAGAAAGCACTGGGATCCATTGTAGGACTTCTTTGTGCAGGGGCATGTCTGGTGCAGGTAAGCCGCCGCTACGGCTCGCGGGGTCGGCCGTCGCTTCAAGGATATACCGCGGCTCCGTCGTCCGTTGCTAGGCCTTTGCCGATCCTTTTTGTCTCTCCTCCACAAAGGAAACCGGGCTTCTTCTTTACTGTTTTACCGTGAATGACGTCAGTTAGGCAAAGTTTACACTTACACATCGACAGTTTCGTTGCTTGCAAAGAGGAAAGCTACCACGGCTTTGAATTATAACCTGAATGAAAGAGTTTGAATCGAGGGTATCAAGATTAACGTTAGCCGTTGTTGCTAACTGGTACCCGGCGAATTGACGTGTTTATTCATGGGACTTGAAGCTAGCATGCTAACTAGCCTGATAAGGATGTCACTCCCAGTTTGCTTTCATTATTGAAACGCTAATTTTTTTAACTTTCCTCTTAAAAAAAAAAAAAAACATGCATGTTATTGAAACAGTTTTGCATTTTATTTATATAACTGAACTTATTTACTGTGACATAATTTGGCTTCTTAATATTAACACCTTTTTTTTCTTGTGTTATTACAGATTGCTGCAAAACCCAACGTAATTTAAAATGTGTGTGTGTGTGTGTGTGTGTGAAATACTTTTTTCTTTAAATCTGGTGTGTCCTCAGTATGACACTGTATAATAAGCTTAAATCTAAAAAAAAAAAAAATTGCTCTACAAAATAGTTTAGGCCTTTACAGGAAATGAGACCAGAAAACTAAAACAAAACAAAAAGTGAAATTAAAAAGACTAAACAGTTCCTAGAAATAGTTCAGTCTACAAGAACCTTTTTTTTTTTTTAACATGTGGGATTGAGTGTTGACTCGGGCATTCACTTTGTGTACCTCTTGTGTGTATTTAAGGGGAAGGAGTTCTGTTTTGGGGTAAACAATGAGCAGTACCGCTGTGAGATGGGCTACTGCTGTGGAGAGAGAGAGTGCTGCACCTACTACTATGAGCTGTGGTGTAAGTTCCAGTTGTGATTTCTTCTAATTTCTCACATCTTTCTTTATCCATCAAGTTTAATTATATACTTGTTCTATCATTCATTTCCCATTCAAGGCCCTATTTTGAGGATACAACTCGTTATGTGGATAAAGTTACTTTGATTTGTAGATTATCTCCTAGTTTATTAAAATTGTTTAGCAATTGTGTGTTTAGTCTCACCTTTATTCAAGTACACAGCTTTTGGAAACTGCTTAAATTGGCAGTTAAAGACGGATATATAATTATCTTTTGAGCCCAAAAAAAAACATGAGTTTATCATCTGGCTATTTTTATGTCAGAGAAAACATTGCTCAGTTTCATCAGTTGCTTGTTGGTGTTTTTGTATTTATTGAGCTTGGATGTCTTCTACAGGGTTCTGGTTGGTATGGACTCTGATCATCATGCTTAGCTGCTGCTGTGCTTACCGACACCGGAGAGTAAAGATGCGTCTTCAGCAGGAGCAGCGTCAACGGGAGATTAGCCTCATGGCCTATCAGGGAGCCTCCAGCTCCTTCATTTCTCCTCCACCACTCAATTTAAGTAAGTCATTTTTGTTTTTGCTATGTGGACACATTTAACACTATCTTTGACTTTGAGACTGACAGTCTTTATCAATAAAAAAGACCTTACAATTCCATATTTTTCGGCATTTTACAATATTAAGTGTAGCCCGTAAATTTCTTAAAACCTTTGCCAGTTGTTTCACGCCCATTATATCAGATTAGACGGGCAAGCTCAGATTGATATATCTGCCTTTGGTTATCAGCGTTTTGAATACTGATTAGAAGGTGATCAAGATACCTTAGTATTAAACACATAGAAGGCCAGAAAACTTTGCTGAATCAACTTTCTCCAGCACCACCATATAAAGACATAAAGCCAATTTAGCGTGTTTCTGATCCGTGTCCACTTAAATTTATCGGTACTCATGGATCCATCATTTCCATTTTCCAGTTTATTCATTTCAGAGTATCCACTTTTTCAGAAAGAGCATCCAAAGTTAATATTACAAAATCTGAACTTAAACACGATCGAGAAAACATTTGGCCTGAACCCTCCACCACGGACAAAGGCATTCTCTTTTTTTCCACACCACCTGACGCACCACGCCCACGTTAATTACTTGACTCCAGCCATAACAAAAAATACCTGCCAAAGACAATGTCCACATAAATCCTTTATTCAACATAAATAGCAATATACATTTTTCCATTTCAAATCAAAAACTTCCCATAAATGAATTACTTATTTCAAATGATTGTATACTATATGCTTTATTATCATCACCTGAAATCAGAATTCTCAAACTAAATTAACCATGATTAAAATAGCCTCTACATTTTCATGTACCGTTTTTGAGATTTGGTTTCTGCTGGATGATTTAGTACAGAGATTATTCTCTATCCCAGATTCTTTTATACAACTTCACTCCTCAGCAGCTCAGGCAGAACGAGGCGGGTCATTCTGCAGGTTTCATTTTAAATACAGTGATGTCTTTAAGGTCCTTGAAGCAGCGGCTCTCCCCTCCTCCTGTATGAAACGTTCACATTTTCCTGAGGGTCATAACCTTAGAACTGTGAAAGTGCTGATCCTTATCTTGATCTTGTCATGCTCAGCAGCATGTCGCCTTTGTGTGTTTTGGTCTTATGGTCTGATGATGCCAGAAGGACAGCAGAAATGTGACCTTGATGACTTTGGTCCTCAGGACCTTAGCTGAAACTTGATATTGTGTTCACTAATATCACAGGAGTGGGACAAGAGGCTGAAGAGTCAAGAGTCTTTGGCTCACATTGAACATGCTCCACTTAATGTCAAAACACAACTCTTCACTGTGTGTGTGTACACAGACCGTAGTTGCATGTACTCTTACAGCTTTTCATTTTGAATGCATCTTCTCAACCTGTCTGTATTAAACCAGGGTTGTTTGTTTAGAATTAGATGAGAGTAGATTGCACATAGTTAGCAAGCTAATTTATTGTGATATATATCTAACATTAGATTTTTATTTTTTTAAAGAATACACCGCCTTATTCATAAAATGTAATGGAATTTTTTTTTTAAAATGTATCCAAACAAATCAGTGGGATCTGCACATGTATTTATCACAGTCCCTGTATCATCAACATTACAGCTTTTACTATTTTTTGTTGAGTCTGAGCAAAGGAATTCACATCTTTCAAATATCAATGAATATCTGTTGACTTTCAGGGTTCTGGAACGACTGCAAGCTTCCTGACTATGAAGAGGTGGTAGGTCACCCGCCGACACCGCCTCCTCCCTACTCTGAAAACCCTCCTGAGACTGTTCCAGCAATCCCCGCTCAAGTGAGCCAGCCCAACGCTTCAACCGATCCACCACCATCGCAGGCTGAAGAAGTTCCACAGGTGGAAGGTCAGGCCTCAGGTTCCTCATCAGGCCAGGGAGCGGCGTCAATGCCGATCCAAACACAGCATCTGGCCAAGGAGAATGTTGAAGTTCCGCTCATGGCTGCGGGTGATGAGGAGGAAGACGAGGAGCTTGTCACTCGGCGGCGCCATGTGACGGGTGACTCAGGGATCGAGGTGTGCGTTTGCCAACTGGACGTTGACGAGGGCTCAGGGCTTGAAGAGGAATGCGATGAGATGAACCAGATGTGCAAGGTCAGCGGTCGAGACTGCTGTTCCGGGCAGCAGCAGCAGCAGCCGGCCTTCAGACAGAAGGAGCACACCTCAGAGCTGCCCAGCCAGACCGCCAGCACCAGCACTGGGGACCACATGGTGTGATCCACAGCTCAACTAACCAGCTAACCAGCCTGGCTTTCTGCCTCACACAGGGAGATCATCATCATCACCACAGGGACTGTCTATGTCTTAATTCTTTGAAATTACACATAGGCATGACGTTATGATGATGATGATAACTAATCCTTAATGGCGCCTGATAGGGAAAAATGAATAACACATTGTGTGGACAATTTTTTTTCTTTGCTTTTCCTTTGCAGGGAAACCAGCCAACACATGTCGATGCTCCATTTTGTTTCGTCTTTTTTTTAAAAGTGAGCAAAAGGAAGTCATAAGAGGGCAGCAATTGATTGTGAATGAAATAAGAAATGACTGTTTCCCTTTGCTCCTACACACTCGAGCACTGCCTTCATGTTTCTGTTTATGTCTCACTGCTCACCCTGGTCAGAACATTTCCCGCCATCCATCTGTCTGACATTATACTGCCACTGGGATGGTCAGCCAGGAGCATGCCAGACTGTCAGTGGACCCCCCCCCCCCCCTTCTCCAACGAGGAGCGGAGGACTTAAAAGCAAACTTCTTAAAAACTTAATGATGTTAGTAGATGAATCAGTGCGAGCACACACATTTTGTTTTCCCCAAAGCTTGTGTGCCTGAGAGTCTGTAAGTTTGTGTGCTGTTAGATCTAGGGCACAGCTGCACAGTGATGTCAGCTGTGAGGTCATGGCAACCAGTGTCTGCTGTCCTCTGGTGTGAAGAGTGTGAGGCTCTTTGCATCTAGAGTGGTTGGGGGGGGGGTTATGCAACTGCAAATAGCAGAGAAGAGAGACAGGAAGGAGTTAGTTATTTTGTCTGTGGGTTTTAAATGTCATACAAACGTTTTTGATTTTCACACAGTGATGTCGGCCACCCAATGGTCCACGATTAACCTGGTCGAAGTAATGGTTGACCAGCTTCTAATAATGTATTCATCGGGTGCCATGATCTCCCCTGTTCCGTTTTTGACTGCATTTAGTTCATTACAATAGCCAAGAGGGCTGTGCCACCACTATTTCTAATCCAAAAATGTCCCTGTGGTGGATCTGCTAGAGTGTTTTATTTACTGTGTTATATCAGAGTGGGCATTGGCAGCGTTTAGCCCGTTCTACACGTTAATAGTTTAGATTTTCATAGACAAAAAAAAATATAAAAATCATATCCAGCTATGCTTCAGTTTCATTCTACAGGTGTCACTATAAATCGCAACAAAGCTCCTGATGGGGGCTGCTTGAGTGTGTATGTGCTAGTGAATGGATGTTAAAGTGCAGTAGGTGAGGGTTGAGTATTGTGCGTGTGTGTATTTTTATAGTGCTGTTGTATCTGGTTGAAATACTTGCACAGCAATGAGGTGGATAAGAAGCACTGTTTTTTTTTTTTTTTTTTTTTGCATGAGGCATGGATTTCTGTGATTATATTTGAGTTCATTGGCATTTTCTAGCTACTTTTTACTCACTTTGTCATAATGATATTGGGCTACATTGGTTACACATCAAGTTGTTACAACTGTGTAAGCCATGCTGTCTTCTAATGTAGCACAGGTTGCTAGTTAGCTGGGGCTGTCCTGGCTCTCTGCGGACCCTGTAGCTCCTGGCAGCCTAAGGGATTTGCGGTGGTATTTTCCATTGGCAACAGAGCGCGGGTGCATTAGCAAGTTGAGGTGGATGCAGGCTGTGCTCTGCAGTCTCGTCGCTGTTTGCACAGCTGCAGAATCTATTGTGAATAACCGCATGCTTCTTTGCATGTCGCTTGCCCTATATACTGTACAGTGTGTATTCAAAGCATTGAAGCAGACTAACTGGTTTTTGTCAGACGGGAAATTAAGTGCAGAACAAATTTGCCTTTTTTTTGCAAGACTCAGAAGAAACTGACACATCAGTAAAAGGGTTTTATTTTGAAAAATGTTAAACATCTTAGAGATCTGCTCTGATATGGTGTGTTTAAAAAGGATACAGTGTTAAGAGCCAGGTCAGTCATTCTGGTTCACACATACTCTGAAAGTTCTGCTCTTGATAACGTCACTTATTTCTCAGCACTGTCAGGACTCTCACAGGGAAATTCTTGGCCTCTAAACAAGACATGGCACTGGTATGCATTTCATCTTTCCTCCGGCTGAGAGCTCTGTGCTCGCTGTGGAAATGTTTCTGTGATCCACTGTTGGAGCAGAACCACATACTGTTTGTGCTAGAGTATAGGGAAACCACACAAGAGAGTCAGTGCACCTGAAACGTGAAATTGGAGTGAAAAAAAAAATCCAAACAGCTGCCTGAGGCTTAAAATGAGAGACAGTTTAGTTTCATTTTCGTTGCATCGGCCTTATCAAACATGCTAAATGAAAGGTGTGCAACCTTGTGTTGTGCTGCTGAGCAGGTCCTTTAATATGATGCTGAACTAACATGACTGACTTTTCCAGAGGAGCTGTTGCACTGTGAGCATGACTGCACAGCATTAGCAGAAGTCATTTAAAAGACATTGTTTGACCAGCACACCTCAAGCTGCCTTGCTGCATCTCTAAAGAGAAAATGTCTTGATTATGAAGCGGCACAGTGAAATCAATAAGGAAAGATTTGTGCTACTGCCTTATTAGAGTAGGTGTAGTTAAAGTGGGTTTGTTCTTTTGTTTTCTTGCAAACACGATCGCTTCAGAGCAGAGGAGTGCTCTGTATCACTGCTAGTTGTCATCGGAGCGTTTTTTTTTTCCTTTCACTTATCGAGATGAGGATGTGGTTTAAAAAAATCCTCAATGTAAACTGTCACGTTCTCTAGTGTTTTACATGCATAGGTTTTGTATCTGGTTGCGTTGAGTTTAAAAATACTGTGTATAGTTAGCTGTGGCAATGATGGATTGTCAAGACCAGAGTTTGGGCTCGTTCTGTTTCGGTTTCAAGGATCTGGTCGCAAATAGTTTGTGATGTGAACTGACTTGAAAGCATGATTAAGATTCATTTTGATTTCTCCTACTTTTGTTATTTTTTTAAAATCTCCAACAAGAGATAACGTCATAACCTATTTGTTATGATGATGTTATGATGCTTAATTGTATACATATGTAGACAAAATAATCAGGGGGGGGGGCTGCGGCTGTGTAGGAAATGAGGCAGGAATGTGGATTCTTTTGTGCATGAGTGAACTGGAGGTCCATAGTTTTCCCATTGCCAAACAACGACTATGCCTCGCTAGTTTTCAAGTTTACTAAGATTAAGGGCTATATCCGTCATCTGTTGCGGACAAACATCCATCCATCCATCCGTTGTGTTGAGTGATTCGTCTGCTCTGTGCTGTTTGTTTGAAGCCACAGTTGCCGAGATCCACTATCTGAACATGCTCCGTGTTCGGAGTTGGATGTCCTTTTTAATTTTGTAGTGGAGCGCATATTAAAAAGAAAAAAGAAAAAAAGCTGATTGTATATGACCATGTATGTTTGTGTTACAGGCTTTAACTTTGCCTTTTCTTTTCTTTTTTTTTGTCAACCTTAACGGAGGTGCGTGATGCAACCCCCCCCCCCACCCACCCCGCCCAATGAAAGCTCCTTGCCCAGCTACATTTGTGTGTTGTGATGGGACTTTTTTTTTTTATTATTTTTTTTTTTAGCCTTTCTTGGTTCTTTGTGAGCTGTGACTCCATGCTAACAGAAACTGTAGCTAACGCTGTCTGTGTTTGCGTTTTCTCCGTCTTTGGACCCTTGTAAACAGGAACCCCAATGCAGAAGCGTCGATATAATAATCAACCAAAGTCGCTGTCATTTCCATGCTGCGCGTGTTTTTTGTCGTCATGCCCACGATCTGTTTGGTTTCCCACTCTCAGGGGGTTATTTTTAACAAGCAGTGCTAGAGTTTAAAATTAACACACATTCAGTCTCATAAAGCCAAAGCAGTCGTCTCGTTTCGTAACACCCCCCAACCCCCCTGCAACCCCTCCCTCCCATTGTTGTCTGATGTTATTTCTGCATCACACACCTCTGTTCTGTACTTTCTCAACAAGGCTATGCAAAAAAACATACACCTACTGTTATATGCTGCGACCCCTTTTCTCACCTTCTCTGTCAGTTGTCCGTGGACACCAGTACAAGCAATATAACTCTGAGTATGTGTGGCACTGACTGTAATCTGCTCTTTGGTCTGTGTTCATGTATTTGTTTAAGAAAATGTTGAAAAAATACTTGTAATGCTATAAAAATGATGTGGTGTGTGTGTGTATGCTCTAGTGTCAGCTGAGGGGCTTGATATAAAAAGCAATTGTAGTTTATATATATATACCTATATATATTCCCTCATTTTGTGCTTTTCCTGCCTGCCTCCTAAACCACTTCCACTTTGTACTCAGACTTCTGGGTAGACCACGTTATTAAGTTGTGTCAGCAGAAAGGAGAGACTTACAAATGATGTTTTTGTTGGATTTTTTTTTTTTTTGTCTTGCTACTTTTCCATCCCTCATTTTTGTTGCACTAATTCAATGTTTGGGTATTCTCTTTTTAAGCAACAGCTTTGTTTTTTTTGTTTTTTCATCGTAATGAATTTTCACTGATTTCACTGAATATTTAACTGTTGCCTTTTAATCCTCAGTTGTAACAACATCAATTTCAAAACTTTTGTATACTAAACATATGAAGGACCTCAACATGGAACACAGTCAGAAACAAAAACACAGAAGGGTAATGCAGGAACGTTTCGATGGCCCCTCAACACTGAATTAGAGAAGAGAAACAATATTCCCATGATCACTGTGATGCTTTCTTTCACACAAATTCTAAAATGTCCTTTCACCGTCACCACCGCTGATAAAAACCAAACACCCGAACACATTGAGGTGCTACATTTGATTAAAGTGGATTTTTTTTTTTTTTTGCCAAAATCCTAGTTTGAGAAGGAAGCAGGAACCTTCAACCAGACCAGACTCTTCTTGCATTTGTTTTCCTACTAACTTTAAACAAGCCAAACTGAGTTAAGAGAAAAAAGAGACAAAAAAATGAAAGCACTGAATGATGGTAAAAAACAAAAAAAAAAACGCTCTTGTTTTAGTAAGGAGTCTGCGGTGTTCTTGTTGGGTCATCATTTGTATTTTATTTTTTTAATAAAACAATCATTGGCACTCAAGGCTTTTTGTTCATTTTTTAACCTCAAGTCTGTTTCTTTTCATCCATTTACCCTCAGGTTGCTTTTCCAAGTGTTGTGAGAATTGTAAAGGCTGGGGACAATGCTTCCGGGTGCTTAAGTAGAAATATACAACAGCTAGTTTTAGACAAGAGGCATTACATGACCGCTTATATACAGTACAACTGCGCTGGGACTTAAATATATTAAACCACCGAGCTGCAAGTGCGTTAAATACTATTAATCAACGTCACAGCAAAAACTCTGTCGGGATGATAAAATCACTAAAGTATTTTTCTTTCAGAATAAAAGGAAACCCATAGATGAGTGCACATAACACAAAGTAACTGGTCTGTGGTAACATACAGACAGGTATCAAGTGTGCAGGAAAAAGAGAGGATATCGGAAGATAGAGCGAGGAATGACATGAACCTGGGCCTCCCGCTTGTAGGACTGTGGCCTGGGGATTGACCTAACCGCTAGGTCCATCAGTGCCCGAGTGTTTCTTTACAATAGTCGAGGTCCAATCCCGCCGGGGAACTAGTTCTGATAATGGAGTAAATAAATGTGTTGTATTTCGCTGTTTCCTGAAAAGTAATTCCACTTTGAGAACTACGTATAGTGTAAAAGTCACATCACATCTGAGGTTGTTCTGTTGTACTGTAACATCAGCTGAGGGCTGTTATTACCAAGTCTGACCAAATCACAGCTGTGCTGATATTCAGTACAATATTACTCCCTCTTGTGTAACAATGCTTATATTAATGTTTAACACTGAGATGGCAAACAGGGCTCCACTCAGTAGGATCATCGTATTGCTGTTGGAGAGGCGATTTACATCCAGACATCAAAATAACCCAAATTGAAAGCTGAAAAGTTTTGATCATAACGTTCCTATAGAGCACTGCAGCTGATACTTAAACTTTCTATCTTTGTCCCTAATAAAGAGTAGATTTAACTTTCCAAATGTCAAATTATTACTAAATGGTGTGTATATGTAGATTAAAACAGCAAAAAAGGAGCACACTCAAACAGTTACAAAACGTCAGGTGCACGACAGCAAAAAAGACTACACAGAAAACTGAGAAGTCAACACACTAGATGTCCTTTAAAGTATATCGTCAGGGTAGATCAACAACAGATGCGTTTCGATTCAAAGCCTTCATCTGCTCGTATATGTAGCTTACCATTACTCACAAGCAGAGCTCATACACAGGTCTGGTTTTGCTTTTAATGACACGTTAAATAAGTTCTGGACAAAGTAACAGGAACAAAAAATGGTGGGGCACACATTGGATACATGAGGCAGACCGTTTTCTTACAAATCAAACAGAAAGAAACACAGAAGAATGTGAATAAGGTAGGATGGTTGTCAAAGTGGCTGTAAGACATGAGGAAGTCCAAACACAAGATAAAACATATCTGATGCTTCCATGAGGCTTGGAACCTTTTCCTGAACATACATACATTACACACATTTAGTCAACACCTCAAAACAAACAGAGCATCCTGAGCCCAAACCTGTTTGTATGTTTGTTCAGCTCAGTGATAAAACATGTACTCAATCAACACAAAAGAACAACACAAACAAAAAGGCCATTTATAGGATTCAATGTGCAAAAAAAGAAGTGTCAATAAAAGAGTTGAGGGGAATACTTACATTACTGAGTAGTCATTCAAATTCTCATGAATCATTCTCAGCCCTCTCTTCAGTGCAAACTAGATATTTAAATGCATCTTTTTTTCAAATATGTTACGAATAACTTGCTTTCACTGTCAAAAAATCCTTTCTTAAATCCGTACATGAACTCTGAAAAAGGGAAATATGAATCAAAACGTGTTGTCAGATTGCTGGAATCAAATATTCTCCCTGAAACACAAAATCTTTGCGACATGCACCAATGACACGGTTTCACAAACGCCCTGTGTAGACGTCTTTAATTCTTCACACACCTCATTAACTATCATGCATACTTCACCTACAGGATGAGAATATAATCTTCGATGCTCTATATAAAGTTCATTCACAAAACTTACAGGATTGATTACCGAGCACTGAATTGTTTTTTTTGTTCTTTTAAAGATGAGATTAATCTTCAGTTCACAAGAAGCTACAAAGTAAGATCACAATCGTTTTTAAAAGTAGATTATTGTTTTGGTTGGCTCTTCAAGTCATATTGCATGTAGACCACATGTAGGAACACAATAGATTAGTTCATATAACTTAATTTCTAAAAACATCATCCAGCTGAAAAATCTCAGAGAAGGTCATTTCCAGCACACAGTCACAGAAAATGAAGTCTTGTGATGTAACTGCATGTTCGCTGTGAAACATGATCAGAGGTGGAGTAAGGCGGAGTTGGTGAGCATCAGGCAGTGGTTGAGGAGCAGAATAAAGTCCTACTACTGCTTCATGACTACCAGTGGGGAAATCGGAAGATGGCTTCTGTTGTAGCAGGTGCTACATCGACTCCATCTGCAGTGGGATAAAACAACCCACTGCTCTATGGTCCTCCAGTTACGTTTGAATGTTGTCTCAAAGACCACACTCTCTTATATTATCACCATCACGTCTTTTTCAGTAGAAGCGCTTGCGCCGGCTCTCGTGCCAGTGGCTGTAGACCACCAGGCCGATGACGATGAGGAAGATACAACCCAGAATGGAGAAGAACACGGTGAAGAAAATAGCCACTGCGCTCATCCCTTCGTCCGTCTGACCCACTGGAAGAGAAAGAGAGATGCACAGAGGATTAGACAAAGATGAAGGAGAGAGGAAGAGTAACAGATGAAAAGCTACCACCTGACAATAAGACACTCATGTAATTCCACAAGAACGTTTTTTTTTTTTTGCTTCTTACATCGGAGTAGTTCAAAGTTGTCGACACTCGGTATGGTTATCTCCTCCTCTTGCTCCTCCTCTTCCTGTTTACTCCTCAACACAGTCAGCTGGTAGAGTTTCAGGGAAATGATATCATGGTTGTCTATAAATCAAGAATCAGACAATGTGGTTGGATTGAGAAAAAAAAACACATCAGTTCAAAGTGATCATAAATAATAAAACAAAGAACTGCAAAGGCTTTCACCTAATTATAAAGAAGAAATTATATTATTCCAAATGATGTTATAAACCGTTGTGTTTAGTGGCATCTAGCTGTGAGGAAGCAGATTGCAATCAACTGAAAATGACCTCCCTTACTCCCATTCCAATCATAGAGGAGAAACTAGGATGAATGCTAAAGCAGTGTTGAAACGAGGAGGCGGCCTAGGCTGTGGAAGAAGACCTCTCTGGATATAAAAGCTTTTATTCTAAAGAAACCAAAACACAACTATTCTTATTTCCAGGTTATTATACGCTATTGTCTATTTTACCATACATACAAGAATCAAATTTAATGTTTCCCACAGAGGCGGTATACCTGTGGCGACAGCGGGACAGGGTCTTTGAAAATGTGTTATTCAACAAAAACATAAATTACCCTATTTATTATAGGTTTGGTTAAATTGAGTTAATTGTGCTTTAATCTTTTATGTATTTTAGTTTTTTTTCACAGTGGACTTTGATTAATTCTCATACACGCACAGGTTTAGGCTTTAGTTATCATCACTTTACATACATTATCTTTGCAGTTTGTCGTGTAATGGCAGAAGTCATTCTCAGCCGTAAGTCTGTTCAGAGACAATCAGACATGAGTGGCAGCGCTGTAACAAACACTGCTTTAAGAAAAATACTTTTCAGTGATTTGTCCCATGAAGTTAAAACATCGTTTCTGCTCGAATATTTTGGTTAGTTTGGATGTTAGCCCTTCTAGTTAAGAGTAACCTTACGTCCCCGTGATTCAACCAAACAATGACCCAACTTAAGTTACAAACTAACTAGTTTTAACACAAGGTTTAGAGTGGACTCTGCACCCAAACTTCAGACAGAACTTATACATAGCTGTGTCAACAGGCCACTGGAATACGGAGAGGTTGGTGAGCAGGATGGAAGCAGCCACAGAAAGACATCATAGCAGTCATACGTTTTGTGTTCGATTATATGAAGATGTGTCAAGTTTACAGTGGAAAAAAATGACATTTAAAGCTGTCTACCTGAGAGGTCTCCAGTGACGGCTGTCGCTCCAAAATAATAGCCCTTGGGGAGCCGCACCCCGGGGATGTCCAGGCAGTCCCTCCACTCATGTTGCCCGTCAATGTCGATCATCACCTGAAGCACAGAGGCAGGCACGGAGCAACAGTGACTTTTAGGAAGGTCATGTAAAAACTTTGGTATCTGTTTGTTTCTCAGAAGCACGTTTACTGAGTTATACAGAGTCGTCAAAAAGTTGAAAAATATAACACATGGATTGATGTATAAACAGCTGTTTTAAGAGCCTGGAATATGGGGATGTCATTTATAAATATTTATGCTGATGCCCAGAATTTTTATATTACTCAAAGCTGCATTTTATACAGTAGACGTGTGTTTTTTCTCTGAGTGATAAATTAAATAACATTTGTAATTTATCTAAGCTCCTCTTAAAACACAAGTGTTCACCGTGCACCAATGCCTGCACTATAGACTTCAAAGGTTTCTTTATTTTGTTCTATCAATGTCTGCACTAGGTACACAACTCTCAATAGCAGCGTGCAGGCTCCGCCAACTTGACAAAAACATGGTTGAATAAATATTAATGCGAGTCAAACACAGTCTAACTCGTGTGTGTACAAAAATGCTTAAAGTGTAATCAATCTCTAACACAGAAGACAGGGTTCAGAGTGTGCGTCTCTCACCGTAAGTCTGCGGCGGATGTATCTGATGAAGAGGAAGGTGTCATGTTTGAGGTTGCGCACCATGGCGTTACAGCCGCCGAGCTCTGTGGGCCGACCGTCCCTCTCGTGGTCGTAGCTGATGGTGCCATTGCCGACCATGGCCAGAACGAAGGGGAAGATCCTCTTGTGGGACAAGAGAAAACAGTGTGTAGTTTTGATTTAAATAAGGCCCTCATCATGCACTCTCACAGCACTCAGAGTTGGTGGTATGTCAAAAAAAGAGGGGAAAGCATTTAAACAAAACCCAGAGGAAATGAGGGGAAAATACAAACAAAAATAAGAAATTCAAACAAACTAAGGCAATGTTACAGAACTTCTCTTACAAACATAAAGTGAAGCAGATCTGAATGTCTTAACGGTATCAACAACAATACAAACGCCAAGGAAATCACCCTCCCTCTGAAGGAGTCGGCACATCAATACTACGGCAGTCATTTGGCAGATGTCAACATATCGCTTTACAGCTCATACATTGCAGCCAAACCTGGAATCATGTTGGAATATTTGACTTTTTCCAGAGTCAACATGTCATGCACACCACAAGGTTATCTTCTTAACAACCTAATGTGGCTCCTTTTCATAATGTCCATGTATGTTTGTCTTAGGATGTCAAAACACACATAACTGCACTGCAGACAAGAGATTTAAGTGAAACGATAATTACACTGTTTTATCATTTTCTTTACACAATATAATAACACTTGAATGGGTAGAAAATTCTTTAAGAGATTAAGCTGAGGGACTGAAATGAGGCTACAGGAGAAGCCCTACTGTTTACATTAAAAAAACATTGGATTATATTTTTACCCTTGGCAGTATGGTCATGTAAGCTTTCTCACAGAACGCTGCATAAAGAAATTATACTATTATGGAAAACTTTTGTTTGGCCTGACATTTCTCTTCAAATTCATATTAAGTTGAAGACGTTATATAAACGCACTTAGTACTTCCTACCATTACACTTTGTAGCATCCATGCAGGGACAGATTAAACAAACATGTTGTACTATTTATAAGTGGATGTTTACAGACAGAGGGAAATGCTCAGGGATCAGTGGAGGCTGTATAGTGGGATAAGATGAAGGGTTGGGGTCAAATATTCAAAGAGCAGTTTACCTGTGTGCGAGGAGTATATCTTTTCTTCTGCGCCTTTCTCCAGATGGTTGCACAAAAGAACACAAAGACAGCCTTTTTTTTTACAAAAACTTGCCAGCGCTACCGTCAATTGCCGGCACTCTCACAAAACTCCACTTAAAAAAACATGTGGGATCTAAACAGAGCTAATTGAGCATACCTCCAACTGTTTCTCCTCATTGGGATATGTGTCCACAAACACACCCAAGCCAGTGAAGTTGTCCATATGACCAAATACAGGACCTGTAAAAAACAAATATGAAACCACAGTGAAACATACAAAAACTAGTTTCTCATGTGATAAGAAAGTTTGACGTAATAACAGCATGTACCTTTCTGCATGCGTTCCTTAGTGTACCAAATGGCCAATCCATCACCATTCAGGTTCTTCTTTCCTTGCCCGTGAATCTTAAAGTGCACTTGCATCTCCCAGTCATTCAGATGGCAGGGCTGGAAACACAAACCAGTAAGAATAATGCCAAATAAATAGCTAGGGTCGACTGTAACACCTTGACAATAAAGGTGTAAGGTGGACAAATAAGAACAGTTTAGATTTTAAAATCCTACTAAAAGTTTAAGAACCTTCCCAATCAGAGTTGAATCTATGTTTCTTTTGCTTTCATTTGTTCTGCAGAGCTATCAACCATTGTTTAGTTTATGGAAAGACATTACAGTGATGACTTGTTTATGTAAGCAGATGTTGGATTTTTAAATTTGTATAGCTAGATCAGCGGTGGACAACTGGCGGCCACATGCGGCCCCCATCAACCCCCAACGTGGCCCTCAGGTCAATTTTTACATAGCACATAATTGGAAACATGAAAAAATCTGCCATGAAATCATGAAAACCAGAAATATGTCCTTAATAATATTTGATCACTTGTATATGTCGAGTTAAATTTGAGACATAATCGACTGTAATCATTTTTTGTATCCTACAATGTGGCCCCTCTGGCAGTGAGAATTAAACGAATGTGGCCCCTTGCTGTGACCAAAGTTGCCCCATCCCTGAGCTTAGATACTCACAATTCGGCTCCACACCGCCCCCTGCCTGCTCTGCTTGTCAGGTGTGAGGCGCACCTGGTCGGTGGTTACCATGGCATCCCCCATCAGCTCCCAGTGGGAGGAGCCCAAGGATCCCACACCTGAGCACACGAAAATCATTATGAAGAGAAGAGCTGACACAGCACAAAGGAGCTCATTGAAACTGAAGACAAAACGTGTCTGATTTTTAACAAAACCTATTTTTTTAAACATACAGAAATAGAAAACGAGTGAAGGTATAAGGTGGTATATAATGTAGTAGGTTATATTTACAATATCGCTTTTTACATATTAATATAACAGACTTTGTGTGAAGTCTTTAAATGAGACGTAGAAAGACACCTTTTTACTTTGTTTTAAGACCAAAGGGGCTTGAGTGTAGATGTAATTTGATGGTTGAAGAATTATTCTAGAAACATCTGTCGCCCCTGTAGATGTGTGTAACGGTGAAGTGCAGCGTTACCTTGGTAAGGCTTGGATAGGGAATACTCGCGCTTCAAAAACTCTTCCATTTCATGGTCTTCGTCGGCGGAACACCGACTTGCGATAAAAATAAGAACAGTGAGAGTCCAGTGTAAATTAAAAGGCATTTTTTTCCGTCTGAATGGTGTTTTGGTCTCCCTGAAATGACAGTTCCTGCCGACGGCAGCCATCGCAGGACAAAACTCATCCCACTAAATTGTCTGCCTTCTTCTCATTGGTTCGCCGTGTTGCATGGCTCGTTACTATTTGTCCGTGTGGTTGTCAATCAGAATACACCCTTTTTATTGGATGTCGGGTGTTCTGAATATTTATTTATTTATTTAAACTGGAAGAATATATTAGTTAGCTTCATATCGACTAATTGAATATCGTATTCCCCATAACCAACGAGGTAGTATTTAACAAACTGGCTTTATTTATGGGTACATATTTTCACTAGTTTATTGGTTAGTTATAGCTGTCACTCCTAATTTAGATTTTAAATTGAATATTCGTTCCTTGTGTACAATAATGCATCATTATACAAAATAATAAACTGCATGGTGATACACAGAATTATACAATAAATATTAACATAAATTAGTAGTAAAACCTAAAATTACATAAAAATAAATGAGAGGTAACTGATGGAAATAGGCCTACTGCAATCATAAACATAAAAAAACAAAACAAATTAAAGACCATGTCTTACTTCATGATTTAAAAAAAGACTGTGGAAAAAAGGAAGAAAATAAATGGGAAAAAAAGTTTTTAATTATTTTTTTGAAATTTGGACAAATCTGATTAAAAACTGGGAAATCAGAAAGCAGTTACAGACATGAGAACAACATTTTATTCATGATGTTATTTAGGCAAATCATTCTAACCCAAAATTTAAATTTAAATGTTTACGAATGGCATTTACAAATAAATGTCTTAAAAATGAAATTGGTATCAAGGATATTGCACTTTGTTGGTTTCACACTGACCTTTTAGAATGAGGATGCACTGCAAGGTTTAGGTCCATTTTAATTATCCATTAATATAAGCCCACTGCAAGAAATTAAGTAGTAATAAGATAAGATAAGATAATCCTTTATTTGTCCCACAACAGGGAAATTTACAGTGTTACAGCAGCAAAGAGCAAAGATTGCAAACAAAAAGTGAACACAGTACAATTTAAATATAAAAAGAAAAATTAAGAATGTACAAAAAAATAGATACTAAAAAATAGATTTAAAAAATAAAAAATAGATCAGCTATTTGACAAAAGTGTAGTCCGTAATATTCAGTGTAACACAGACATGCACACAGTTCACATAAAGTGTAACATGTTATTGCACAAAGTGGTTTGCTAAACATAATATAACATTAATATAACATTATTATTGCACAATAATGCAAGTCAGAGTGAATTGTCCGGTTGTGTGCGTGTGTGTGTTTTGTGATCAGTCTGACTGCAGCAGGAAGGAAGGCCCTGCGGTATCTCTCCTTCTGACACCGCGGGTGTAATATTTGTCTCCTTACATTTAAAACACACTTAAATAAAGTTGTGTTATTATAACTATCATCATTGCTAATAGACTTTCATTTATATGCTCCTACAAGTCTTCTACTTTTGTGAGTGAGTTAGTGAAAAGTTAAGCAGACTGTACAAAGTCGTTGTTTCTTTATTTTACAGCCACTAAAATAAATGTTACTTCTTTATATCTTTGTTCTCCTATTGATGGGTGAAATGTCATGTAAAATAAATGTAAATTCAGACATTGCTGACCCCAGTATTCTGATCTCTGCAGTCGCAGCTGTCTATCACTGATGTGGACGTCAGGTGGCGGTAGTGAGCGGTACCACTGGTTGATGACGCGCCCAGTTTAAAGTAAACGAAGAAGAAGAAGAATCAGAAGCGTCTCGGTGGTGATAGGCAACATGGCGTTCAGTTTTGGCGGCGCTGCGAGCAACCCAGCGGCAAGTAAGTGCTGTGAAATATCATTTTTGGGGTATTTTAATGACGTGAGAAAGTATTAATATCATCATAAGATACAAAGGGTCAACTTGCAGCGCTTTAAAGCTTCTGTTTATAAGCTCATCATGTCGGTGGACTCGTCTACATCCGACTGTGTGCTAACTGGTGAAATGCTTTTTCTATTTCTGAAGCATATAGTTATCTATGTCGATATGTTATCCCTGTGTCAACACTTAAATAAGCTTAAATTAAAAGGGCCCAAGTGTTAGCTAACGTCCATTACTTCAATTTACTCTAGCTGTGAAGTTACTGTCACTACACCCAACACTCATAGCACTCTCTATGTTCTTGTGAGGACACATCCGGGGTCTTCAACCTCGTCACCTGAAGTAACCACAGCTGCTCGGCTGTCTTACTGCCAGGCTATGATTGCTGGGGGGCAACTGGCGGCCCGGGGGCCACATGCGACCCCCCAATCAACCCTCAACGTGGCCCCTCAGGTCAATTTTTTTACACGTCAATTAATTGGGAAAACATAACATGACAAAATCTACCATGAAAATCTTTAATATGTCAATGATAATATTTGCTCACTGGTATACGTTGAGTTCAATTTGAGACATAATCGACTTTTGTATTCTACAATTTGGGCCCCCAGGCGGTGAGAATTAAACGAATGTGGCCCTCGCCGTGACCAAATTTGCCCATCCCTGATTATGGGCGATGCTTCAATGTATACACATTGTTTACCCCCGTTTGGGAATGTCTCGTCCACCTGCATGGGAATCTTAAGGACGGCGCAGGTTGTCCTTGGCAACCGGGTTAATCAATCAGGGTTCCAGATTATTACATTTTGTCACGACTGAAGTAAAAATCAAACGACACTGATGCCTGCTTTGATACCATGGCAATGAAAGTGCAAGCCCTAGGCATCGATCATAGGTTGATTTCTTTGAATTTAACAAAAAGTTATCTCATAAGACTTTCCGAATACGGTAGATCTACTGTATTTGTTATTTCTACAATTCTACAATTCACTTAGCAGACGCTTTTATCCACAGCGACGTACATCAGAGAGTAAGAACAACACAAGCAAGGATCTAGAAAAAAAGGGAACAATGTCAGTAAGAGCAAACGATCAGCTTTGAGTCAGATTGGACACACAGGTGCTGACAGGAAGTGACCAGAGGCAAAGCACAACATTGACAGCAGTTCTTGAGAGCTCTAATCAGTATAGAAACCATCTTATAAGTCATCGTTATCAAACAAAAACAATCGTGACAACCATCATCAATAATATCGAGACCATCATCATTAAGTTAGTAGGTATTCATGAAAGAGCTGGGTCTTTATTTAATTAATAACATCTGGAAATGTCTCCTAAACAGGGGATGAGACAGTTAAAATGGGACTAACCTTCCGATGTCACAAGTCTGTTTCCCCACGATTCTTCCTCAGGTTATTGTTTGGTGAAATCTATAAAAAGGAATACTTTCTAAATTTGATTAAATAAATGTTTTGGTTGATTTAATCTAGGTATCCTGGTTGTTGTGACCTAATTTAATTCTGTAGCAGTTTAACTAACTGCGTATATTATTTCTACCTTTTCTTCAAAGCTCTCACAGCCCCTGGTTTTGGGGTAACCACCACTACTGCGGCTGCACCGGCCACAGGATTTAGTTTTGGCTCCACCAACACTGGTAAGATACACTTGATGGACAAAGCATGTAGATTTCTTATCACTTTTTAGTCCACTTATGAGACTGTTTTTACATTTAATGAGGCCATGAACTGTATATAAGAAGTAGATGCTGCCTCTTGGTGTTAAGGAACAGCTTTTGCAGTTGTAATCTCTTTACACATTATCTGAATACAGCTTTGTAAGCAAGGGACAATATATTAGGGGTCAGAAGCCTTCTCTTTTCCTACCCCTGTGTCCACTACTTGTATACAGTCTATAGGCCATACAAAGCCTGACCTTTTACCATTAACTCCTTCATGTCATTCTCTCTTTCTTGCTGCCTGCTTCTGCTGGCTGCAGGATTTGGGGGGCTGGGAGCTGGAAACATCACGGCTGGTGGGTTTAGTTTTGGGGGGTTTGGTTTAAATGCCAACCCAGCAGCAGTCAGCTTTAATGTGGGGTGCTTTGGTACAGCAACCACTACTGGCACTGTTTTCAATTTTGGTAATAGCCTGGCTAGCACAGGTAGAGGACCTTTGTGATTAATTAAATAGTACAGTCTGTGTCTGTAAACACTCATTTACATCCATTTTCACATCTGTATGGTGCACTTCTTTTTCATCTCAGAATGTTTGTCTCACTTCACGTGTCGCATCGTTTTTTTGCCATTTGCATGAAGAGACGAACTTTTGCATCATGCAGTGACATCATTTGACTCGTGTAAAAGCCCGGTACTTTTCTAATTTTTAAAACATTGCAGGATGGAAAGAAAATTCTGGTTTGCCTTTTATTAAATGTTAAAAGCTAAATCATAATTTTGTAAAGTTTCCTATTACCTGTCAAATAGTCAGCAATTTCATCTTCTTTTTCATTCTCATCTTTTTGTGTCGCCTACTTTTCTCATTTTTCATCATCTGCATTGTTTCTCAGGTACGTTTGGTGGCTTTGGGACGACAGCAACAACTGCCAACGCTACTGGGTCGACCTTTAGCTTTGCAGCTCCTTCCAGTACGACAGGTCTGCTGCATGGCTTCATTCAGCCGCTACGAAATATGTGACCTTTCCCTTTTTTTCTATTGCCATCTTTTGGTTACGAGCAGTGAATAAAACATAAAAGTGTACAGCAGTTTGTTTTTAAAAACATCCAGCAGTCCCCCTTTGACTGGATTTGTTTATAGTTTAGAGTTCCATCTTTTTGAGACTAAAAAAATCAAGGAAACTTGAGCTCCATCATGGTTAATTATTGAGTTTCAAAATGTTTACGATACATTTTAAATGGTATAAAAACGAGGGAAATTGTTTTTCTGAATTTTTTACGTCATCCTTCCCGATTCCCGTCCACCTTTGTGTGACTATTTCATATAGCTGCGACAAATGTCTCACTCATTCCATGCTGTGCAGAAATCTTTCCTTTTGCTTCTCAAGTAATTTCTTCTGCAAAGCTGGCAGTATGTTTCCTAAACACTGTAAACTTAACCAGCTTTCTTGGTCTTATATGCAGTTGAAATTTTCTGATGGTGTTGACACATTTTTCTTTCTTTAGGAGGCTTGTTTGGTAACACTCAGAACAAAGGCTTTGGGTTCTCGTCCGGCCTCGGCGCTGGGACTACTGCTGGGGCAACAGGATTTGGAGCTGGATTAGGAACAACTGGCCTGGGTGGCTTTGGATGCTTTAATATCCAGCCAACTCAGCAGCAAGGTAAGTTTCAATGTATGATTTTTAGGAGCATGACCCAAATAATGTTTCAAACTTTGAGGATGTTTTCTGTAATTTATTTACAAAATAGCAAATGACTTTATAGGCCACATGTACTTTAGCAGGATAACCTTAAAATTCACATATGAACTGTTTCGTGAAATCATAGACTGTATAAAGGGATGGACGACACAATGGCCCCCTAAAAGTGAAGCCAAAATATTTGGAGCTCCCCCTGCCTATTGGCTGCAGTACAGTATAGGTCTTAAGTGCCGCCCTCTTCCATGTGAACAGATCGACATCGGTCCAACTATAAAACCGAGATACATGTCAAATAAATTCTTCATCATAGTTATCTTTTAGCACGCTGATTTAAGTTTTCATTTTTCATAGGGCTTAACTTTTGATCAGTTATTTCATGCTAAAAAAGAACGGCTGTAACATCATAATTGACAAATGCGTCTCCTGTAGCATTCTTCAACGACAATTTACCGGATTAGCAGACAAGATGAGGAACAGCGAGAAGAAAAATGACGAAGACACGAGTCATTCTCCTTTCCATAACCACGAGTGTCTGTTTTAAACTGACATAAGAATCTGTCTTGCTGTGGACTGACCTGGGGAATCTTTGCCATATGACATCACTAGCACAATATGCCAGTGTGCATCAGAAGGGTTAAATTGGCTTAATTTATGGACAATGGGAGGAGATTGAGACACGCCGTTTATATTTATGTACAGTCTATGAATTAAACAGGATAAGTGAAACATTCATGAGACTTGGCTTGATGATTATGAAAATAATCTATCTCTCAAACCCAACCAGCAACCCAATCCAGATTGCAACAGATGTCCAAACGTTCTGTTCTTTTTTTTGTGTGGACTGATACATATTCAAACAGCTGGTTTACACATTGACTCTACCACTTTGCTGTACACCTTTTTTTACTGCAGAGGGTGACAACAAACAGGAAGTTAACAATGCTTCAACCGTAACATCTTAATATCAACATCTTTGTCTCCTTGTTTTTACCCCATGTACTTTAGTGTCCGCCTTGTACCTCTGGTTTTGAAATGTGCATTATAACTCAAGTTGTATTATTAACATCAGGCAGACAGTTAAAGCAGAAATAACAGCATGTGCTCTTGAAGCATGTAACGTTGTTGAAAGTACAAGTGATTTCCCTTAAATTATAAACGTGGTTTTCTTGTCATTATTGATATTAAGGGGTTTCTTAATGGTTTAGAATGAGAAAATCTGACCTCTCTTGTCATGTTTCCTTTGCTCTCCCATACCAGCAGGCTTGTTTGGTCAGCCGGCCCAGCAGCCAGGTCAGCCTCAGCCCACCCAGCTTTACCAGCAGGTCACTGCCCTGTCAGCTCCCACCTTGTTGGGTGATGAGCGTGATTCCATCCTAGCAAAATGGAACCAACTACAGGCTTACTGGGGCACTGGGAAGGGCTACTATAGCAACAACAACCCAGCTGTTGACTTTACGCAGGAGAATCCATTCTGCAGGTTCAAGGTAACATCAGGAGTTTAGGTAAAGTTGCTAGAAGGATTTTTTTGTCGGTTCATTTGAATAAAAATGTGTTCCTCTCTTTGTCTTTTGGTTCCTAGGCGGTGGGCTATAGCTGCAGTCCAGTAAGTAAGGATGAGGATGGTTTTGTGGTTCTGGTTCTCAATAAAAAGGAAGCAGATGTGCGAGCTCTGCAGCAGCAGCTGGTCGAGTCCCTTCACAAGATCCTGGGAAGCAACCAGTCACTCACTGTCAATGTAGATGGGGTCAAAGCTCTTTCCAGTGATCAGTAAGCTCCTATAACATCTCACACAGTGCAACTTGAACAATTGCTTAGCTCATTTTTTGATGATTTCTAGATGTCAAAAATTGTAAAAGATATTTGACAAATTCATCATCGACAAATGTGGGGTGTTAATCACGAGTCTTTTCGTCTCTCAGGACGGAGGTGATCATTTATCTGGTGGAGCGTTCACCTAATGGCACCTCCAAGCGGATACCAGCCACCACCCTCTACAGTTATGTGGAGCAGGCAAACATTAAGGCCCAGCTCACGCAGATCGGAGTGGCCATGTCTATGACACGCACTGAGCTGTCTCCGGCACAGCTCAAACAGCTGCTGCAAAATGCTCCCGCAGGTAAAACATTCATATCACCCCCCCTGCTAAATTCTATGAATGGTTGTTACGGATTTGAACGTCTTGAACTGTTACTGAGGGTGTTGTTTCTTCTCACCAGGAGTGGACCCTATAATCTGGGAGCAGGCCAAAGTGGACAACCCAGACCCTGAGAAGTAAGCTGATTTAAAGACTTTACATAAAAAGTACCAAGAGACTGCAAGATCCTCATAATATTCCCTTCTGCATTTTACTTTTTCACCAACTTTATTAAAGCCTATGCAAACACTTTCCCCACCTTGACCAATCAATATTTGTCTACCAGAGCTAAGACCATCCTAGTGCCTCTAAGTCATGTTTGACAAAATATAAAACAGGGATGTGATTCCTGTCCCTGATTGTTTTATGTGAAGTGACCCGTTATAAACATAAAAACACATTTTCAAAGAAGGGGGTAAGTCTTGTGAAATAAGGAGAATTTGACAACATCTACAGACTTAAATGTATGACGATACCTTTCATTTCTAAGTGAATGATGATTTAAATGCAGTAGCTTTGTGCTTGGGATCATTGTCATGCTGAGAAATAATGCAGATCACAATCCTGATAATATCTTGTGTTAAAGCAAAGTTTCCAACCTTTAGTTTCTCTACTAAAATATTAGTTTGACCGAACTTTAATAAGGCAATTGTTCCAACAGAAATCACATACTACAGCCTTACTTTGACAATTGTTATTAATGATTTCACAATGATTTTCTCCAGATTGATCCCAGTGCCCATGGTGGGATTCAAAGAGCTGCTTCGTAGGCTGCAGATCCAGGAGCAGATGACCAAACAGCACCAGACCAGAGTGGATGTAAGAGAGTCCACTGTGGTCTGTTTTCGCTTGACTTAGTTCTCTGAGTGTAAAAAAAAAAAAAAAAAAAGTCTCACTGGAGGTTGACACAGTGCATTCTGATTACCAAGGACGGAATTTGAAATAGATTTTGTTGTGTCAAGGACAGAGAACACAGATATCCAGTTCATGCTTTCTGCCAACAGGTCTAAATAGCGTCTCACACACTGCTGCAAGATGAGATGTAGACATTAAATCATACGATCATTATTGTTTATATAGCTAACTGCCTTGGTAGGACATTTATAACCAAATTACATTGTGAGATAGGTGCTAGTATGGTAAGTCATCCCTCCTCCTGCATTGTCAGAGGATATTTAATAACCACATGATGTAAATAAAAAATGTATAGCTAAAACATCAGGTAGTTCTTTCATTTTAGTAAATTCAATAAAATCACATGTTGTCCTGCAGATCATCTCAAGTGACATCAGCGATCTGCAGAAGAACCAGGCGACCACAGTGGCCAAGATCGCCCAGTACAAGAGGAAGCTGATGGATCTCTCCCACAGGGTGCTGCAGGTAGCTTCCTCACATTCCTCACTCTGTTAAGCATAAAAAAAAGTTTGGATTTTTTTTTATTGTTATCCTTTTATCTTTTTTTCCCCTGGCTTAGTCATTTTTTCGTCAGTATTTGCTGTAATGTTTTACTCATTGCCATTTTAAAGGTGCTGATTAAACAGGAGATTCAGAGGAAGAGTGGTTACGCTATCCAAGTGGATGAGGAGCACCTCAGGGTGCAGCTGGACACCATTCAGTCAGAGCTCAATGCTCCCACACAGTTCAAGGTAAGTGACTCGACTGCAGCAGTGCTCAATTATTTTCTTACAGCGGGCTAACTAGACTTGCAGGGAGGTAAAAGTGGCTTCTATGCATCTTTGATAAACTGTCTCTCTTCCCGATTTGTCTAATAATAATTATAATCTAATTAAGGAAGAGCACAACTTACTGCTGCTGTTAATTATAAAATGTCTTTAAGGATTTTTAACAGAATTGATGCTGTCTTTCTTCCAGGGTCGGTTGAATGAGTTGATGTCCCAAATCCGCATGCAGAATCATTTTGGAGCTGTGAGATCAGAAGAGCGCTACAACGTCGATGCCGACCTTCTCAGAGAAATTAAACAAGTCAGTCATCGTAATTTACACAAAGCATCTTTATGTAAAGTCTGTACCCTGTAATGGTACTTACAGACTAGGGGATATTCCTAGTGACTTATTAACTTGCTGATTAAACCAAAATGTAAAGTTGATCTACAATGCTGATCCCCATTTTAAAGGAAGAATGTGCAACACTTTACACATAAATACAGCAGAAATCAAGTATATCCTCTGTAAATATCTCTGAGTCATGACTGTCTACAATGATCTTAAAGTTGTTGATTTTTACAGGGTCATGGGCTCTCACCTCTTTTGTATCAACTGTGATCTCTTCGGTTTTGTTTCCTTAAAAAACAAGGTGGAGGTTTTCCACAATTCCTTGAAAGAGGAAATCTCATTGTGGCACAGAGAAGTGCAGTCAGCACAATAAATCAAGGCTGCAATTAAAGCATCATCAGAGAATTTGATGATATAATTGTTAGGCGGACTGCTTCTATATTTTTTTAGTGCACAAAAAGTACAACAAGTGTACAATTATATAGGATGGGTGAGCTCACACTGCCTTGAGGCATTCCTGTACTACAATGATACGATGTTGAGAAAGAGCTGTTAACTTTTACCTGTTGGGATCTGCTTGTTAAAAGTCATTCACTAACACTCTTTTTTTTTCCCCCCCCCCCCTTATCTCTCACTTTCAGCACCTGAAACAGCAGCAGGATGGTTTAAGTCATCTGATCAGCGTCATCAAAGACGACTTGGAAGACATCAAACTCATAGAGCACGGGCTGAGCGACAGTGGACACATGAGAGGAGGCATGCTGAGCTGAGTCTACCTGACTGAAACACACACACACACACACACACAATACAAACTCTGACTCAGTCCCAGTTCTCCGCAAGGTGGCATGCCTATCACCCAGACAAGGTGTCATGTCCTTTATGTCATGGTATTAGATTAATCGTCACAACAGGTCATTAATCTGTTTCTTGACACACTGAAGAGCTTCATGGAAAGACTTTACATCATCTAATAATAGCGGGCTTGCCTTGTGTTAAATCAGATTACAAATATTAGACTGAGTAAGACCAGCACGTTAACAAATCCTCCGTTTGAGTGTGTTGCGATAAATACATTGTAAATACATTTGTATTACTTTTTTATGCTGTTGTTGGAATATTAATAAATTTCATTGAAACTGAAAAAAAGTGGAATGCTACATCTCTTTCCTGCATACATACTCACAAGTTATTCTGTTTTTCCAGAGTTTATTCTGTGTGTTCCTGTTGGAAAAAGAAGTCTAATTTACCATTTTTCATCCTAAGAAGGGATGTACAGGTGCGCATTGTTGGGTTTACAATATGGTACATGTCTCGTCCTACTGTGTTTCCGTTTACTCAAGACCTTTCTGGCATCTTATCAAAGAGGGCTTGACTTAACTGGATTAGTGTCCTGGATTCATAACCCCACAAGGATGAGAGACTGATTGGCAGTTGGCAGCTTTCTGATGGATTATATCCCCTCACAGAGAATATAGACACCTTGTTTCCCAAGGGTATGAATTACACATGGTGTTGTTGACCATAAAGCTAGAAGTACAATTCAGACCCTTTTTAAAAAAAAAAAAAAAAAAGAAGTTATTTTTGGACTTTTTTGCCTTTTATTAGTTAGGACAGCTGAGGGAGACAGGAAGTGTTGGGAGGAGAGAGTGGGGGACGTCATGCAGCAGAGCGCTGAGGTTGGATTCGAACCCAATGCCGCTGTAGGTCAACAAATGTGTCCAACAAGATATTCTCTTTTACAGGTTCTCCTACAGATCCTGATCCTCGCTCTCAAGTATGCGCAGTGAGGTCAACCAGCCGAAATGCCTCCATAAACTCATTAATATCGATGCTCCCATCTTTGTTGAAGTCGATGCTCTTGGCCAGGTCTGCGATGGACTCGTCACTGATCTCTGTCTTAAGATGGGAACTTAAGAGTTTCCAGGTTTGCCGAAACTCCTCGAAAGAGATCAAGCCTTAAAAGAAACACAGAGGAAGAGGATGAAGCTGTACACTTATCAAATTTGCAGCAAATAAGACTGTAGTGGGTCGGAGTGATGGACCATAATGCCTGCCTTCAACAAACAGAGGAAGTGATAGACATGGACCAAGCTCCACAGGAGGCTGAGGCGCTTACTCACCCGAGTGATCCGTGTCTATGATCCGGAAAATGGTTTCCAGGTTGGAGTGGTTCTTGTACATAGTCTCCAGGATACTGTCGTCAGAGATCTTCTGATGGCAGAGACGATTAGATCAAGATTTTGCAGCTCAGACCAAAAAAAAAGACACACACTTAGAAACAAAAACACAACGTTCATCAGCTGTGCAAGTCTGACCTCTGACTTTGGCTCGGGAATAGAGAGCTCCCTTATCCACTGCTTGTAGTCCACCATGCCAAAGTGGGTGCTGCTGACAAGCTGAGGACGCAGCACCCTCCATGGCAGAGCCAGATTCAGTACTCTCTCCGTTGCATTAGCCCAATGACTCAGAGAGATTATCCCTGGGATACAGGCAGAAATAAGCAGTTCTGCTTTTGAACCACTGTCATTCTCATACACTACCACTAGTCGATGATAAATAAGGATTTTTTTTATTGCATACACCTGGGCGTAATATTCACAGCAGTTTGTTTTTTTTCTTTACCCGTGTTGTGAGGATCAAACTCCTGGAAGGCACTGATGAGAACTGACTTATGTACAAAGAGCTGTTTACGAAGAGCTTGCAGGGCCGATCTCTCTGTCCAACTGACACTAACAAAGAACAGGGAAAAATGTATTTTTGCTTCTTGTCATCACTGGGAGAATGAAATAGCCGTATAGCAAGTGTTTGAATTATATTCACTGGGATAAACATTTGATTGAATTCCATAGAGTTTTGTTACCATCGAGTTGTGCTGCTGTGTGTTTTTAAATACCTTTGTCTCAGGGTGAGCTCTCTGCTGGTCCTACTGGCCTGATACTGGGAGAAGTGGGGGACCAGATCCGAGCCCATTCTGATGTAGGCTCCTCGGTTGCTCCCCACTTCATAGTAATTAGAGGCTGAAAATATCGTCAGCACCTGGACTCGACAAAGGACAGATAACACAAAGACCAACTTACTGTAGTCCTTTAAACTGTTTTTCTTTTTAAAATATATACCCTTCCTATTTTTCCGACAAGTGCCCGAAATAAGTTCCCAACAATTCACAGTAAAAAAAAAACACCACCCTCGAAGTGAAGCCAAAATATTTAGAGTTCCTCCGACTCACTGGTTGAAGTATATGTTATAAACCCCAACTCCTCCATGGTAAAGACTTTGCGACTTTCAGAGCAGATTTCCAGACTACAACTCTCTTTGGATTCAACTCACTCATTCTTCAACTCCCCCTGTCCCCTCTTGTTTCGTCACTTCCCCTAACTTTGTGCTTACCCTGCGGTTGTGGCAGAACTCATAGCCCTCCTGTTTGCACTCATGTGAACGGATGAGAAGGTGGAGGTTGTGTCTTCCCAGCACTTTCTCGGTGACATCTGGTCCCCAATAGCAACCTCCGCCTCGCACCTCATTGGGAATGCATCCACTTTGGGGCATTGGGTCACTCCACAACATGTCCACTATCTGGCCAAAGTGATCATAGAAATAAATCAGTGCCGCTGTCTATTAGCAGATTTTAGTCAATAGTTAAAGCTCCTGTGAGGAACCTTTTGGTTGTGTTACTTTTTTCCATTAACAGTCAAATGTATCACTAAGAATATTTGCTGTGGAAAATGGCTGTTTCTGCAGCAGTCTTTGTTTTACACCTCCAAAAATACATTATTGCATTCAAAAATAATCAGTCTTGTCAATTACTGTCTCATTTTCCTTTGCAGGGCCATATGAAGTAATGGCTATTAACTTCAGACTGTTTCAAAACAAGTCAAAAACTCCTCACAGGAGCTTTAAAGTTGAACGTCTCCAAAAACAACAGCTGAGATCCACTGCCCTTCTCGTCACTTACCTGTTTCCACTCCTGCTCATCTGCTGTTTCACAAGACTCTGGATCTGATTCCGAGTCGCTCTTCTTCGGTTCTCCGTAGGACTGATCAAACCCAGCCAATCTGCGCCTCTTTTTCAGCTCCTCTTCCAGCGAACAGTTGAGACGACGACTGCTTGTAGGCGAACAGTTGAGTGAGCGCCGTGGCATGTTGTGAATTAAAGCCGAGGTTGAACCATGGTAAGTCAGAGAACACACTCGACGCCGGCCTTCCACTGGTCCGCCGACCTCCCCCACGTTCATTGCCTGAGTCTTTGTGCTGTAGACTCCATGTTGGGTCTGCTTAGGAGGTCTTAGAGCTGAGACATACTGCACACATTTTAAAATGTAAAAAAAAATTGTTATCATGACAATATTTTCTTGATATAATGGTTGTAAAATACCCTTAATACGGTGCTAAAGGCCTCTTTTACTTTGTGTCTGTCCACTCTGGATATCATGTTAAGATCCGTCATGTCAGAGATCCCTCCATGGACAATCAGCACCTTGTGATCAATCACTGTGGCCAGAGGCAGCCCGCTGAAAATCTTCTGCAGAAGCTTTAAGATCTTCTTGCCATGCACCTGCAGACAAGACAAGCTCATGGTGACTTAAATCATCAATCATTTTAATCTTAGTATCATCTACTTTTGGACATTGATGCTAAAACAAGTACATCTCAAAAAACATTTGTTTTGATTGACTTGAAATTTAGTGCAGACCTGCATGTTGCACAGAGGATGTATCCTACTGATTTGGGGATTGTGTGACTTTTTCTCTAGCACCAACTTCAGGTTTTAACTTTCAATTTTAATGGAATAACTGCCTAATAACACACATCCATGTTCCCCTATGGATGAACTGTAATAACTAAAATCTCATTTTGATTTCAATTTGTCCAGTATTCTGTTACTTAACCAAATACCTCCAAAACTAGCAACTAGCCAGCTATCTGGCTATCTACCTCAGCATTTCCTAGACTTTGTGTACTGTTCTAATAAGCAAATAGCAGATAGCCAAACTGAAGGAGCAGGGCGGGAACAGAGAAAGGGTAGACAAAACAAAGCAGAGCGCTTTTTACACCATTGTGGCCACCATTGGGAGTGCTGTTTGTTTGGAATCTGACTTATAGTGTGTACCCGGTTAGCATTCTCATCTTAACAATAAGCATCATGAAATTAGCATAATGCTACGTAGAATGATTCACAGAGCAGCTAGCATGGGCTGTCGAATCTTTTCCTTAACTCAACAAATCAAATGAAAAGACCAAAAACAACATTGTCTTTGTCCTATTAATATTTGACCTCTTGCCTGTCCTCTCTGTGGATCCCAGATATTTGCCCTTTTTTTTGGAAGGAGATGTTAATCCCCAGCACTTTGCAAAATTAAATTAAACTATTGCAGGTTTCTGAGAAAAGCTTGGCACAGTTCTTTTTAGCTATGGGAGTCAAATTCAATTCTTGGATGCAGAACAATGCACAGAGTAACAGAATGGTATCCTGTGAGTATTGCCACTATAGCTACACAGTGTATGTTAGCCTGACATTAAACACAACAGCTGGGCTCACCATAATGAGAAAATGTGTCACTCAATGAAACAGGGTGACTGGTTTGTGGAGGTCTTTGGCAAGAACAATCGAGATATACGTATGAGCAGTCATTGGCACCACAGATAACACTTTTATTAGGATCGATTTATTGTTGGTCTCGATGGTTTACAATTGATGATGACTATAGTAATATCAGTATTGAATATGTCTAAAATAATTAACATGTGCAGATAGATAGGATGATTTTATATCCACGTATATGGAAACATCGTAACCTCCAAGCTGGGAGTCAGA